CAGCGTTAGAGGTTGGAGATGTATGACTAGTAATTGTAGAAGATAGGTGGGCTGTACCAAGTTGTTTCACGAGCAGTCCAAACAATAGTGAGTGTCGATAGCAACAAAGATGCTCATTTTTTGTTTCTTGGAATCCTCCTGTATATGGAAATATGCTCCTTTTGGCTTTTACGACATTTTAAGATCTAAATCGTAGCATCATTACAACTTTTTTATATAGTTTTCAGTGTTATTAGCCAAGGCATTATGTGGGCAACATTGTTGCAAACAGCTTTGCAGGAAGAAGAGGGTAATGCCGTGTTGGATTGTTCATGCAAGCAAAGCCCTCTGTCGTGGGTGTGGCTTGGCCAAGAGGACTTTATTACATACATTTAGCAGTGTTTCTCTGGGAAATGCAAATTTAGGAGACTTGGATATCAAGAGTTTTGAGTCCTAGAAACGATTTATTTGTATGCAGGGGTAAATTAAGGGAGAAGATGCGATGGTACATTATTTGATGCATTGCAAGCAACAAACTTGCAATTTTCCATTGATCAATTCTAATTTCGTGCCTAATGTTCTTGATGTGGTTACTGGGAATCCCTCTGGGTCACAATTTTGTACTGATTTGGCACCAATTGGAGGAACTGAAAGTGCCTATCATTTGTTGGTACAACATTGCTGCATTGAGTGGAGCAATGCTCTAGGTCTCTCGACTATAGAGAGTTGCAACTTATATTCCTTCCGATCTCATACTCAACATAGTGACAGATTATAACAATTGATATAAATCATGGACTGAAATCACTCTTGAAAACCGGCTTACAAGAAAAGAGTGTCCAAGAGTTCATATAAGCACATCTAAGCTCATATTTGACCGTGGGATCATAACATGCATTGCTCCAAAATGAAAAGGATGTTCTCGTTTTCAAGTTTGGTATAGGTGGTCACGGAACAATAAAATGGGTAAATTCAGTATAAGCCTATACCGATCCATCTCCGACCCACTTTGAAATGAAGCTCCATGCTGCATCCGAAGCAGTTCTAGAGAATGTGTGGGCCAACTTCATAGCTCAAACTATGGTGGACCAGCAACTTAAAACTACACAAGAATTGTCCAAAGAACTACTCAAACCATTTACAATCCTCATAAACAACTGAGTTACTCAAATCTTTAACTTTCGAGCAGATTAAATGAGTGGTCTGGATTCGAGTGACAATTAAGGATTATAGAACATATGCAAGTTCTTTTTTATGATTCATTGGGGTTGTTGAGTAGATTGAACCGTAAGAAACAAACTAGGTTGGAAGATGCTCCAAGGGATGGGCGGTGGCCTTTTTACAAGTTTCTTCTCCTTCACTCATTGATGACTGCAGATTTCATATCCCAATCCCTTTGTCCCCTTTTCTCTCTATTGTTTCAAATTCAAAGTATACCCACCTTACCAAGCATACCCACCTTAGCATTTTCCTTTGTTTCTTTGTGACCATCTATTAATGAAAAAATTATTTATACTTAATTTGAAAA